GAATAAAACTCGAATCGCTGCGGCCACTTCGCCGGAAGAAGCTCTTTGACAGCAGATTTCTGCTGAGGATTAGAGAGCTTCTGAAGCAGCCCATGCTGGACTCAGAAGGCCTCGACTGTCTCATGAAAAATCTCGAACAGCTCCTCCAGAATGCTCTTAATCACGGGAAGGAGAACATCAGCGGTTTGAAGCCCAGATTGATTGTGGAGAGACTTGCGTTTGCCTTGCTGGTGACGGATGCGCTATTTGCGGCCAGCGAAGTACTAGGACCAGCAGCGAGGCGCTCAGAATGGTGGGAACGGGTCATCGACATGCTTCCGGTTTATACGGGTCCGAGTGAATCTGCTGCTTTGCGTGAGGGGGCTCAACAAAATCTCCTTTTGGCTCGACTCTTGCAGAGCGCTTTGGAGTTTTATAGATGTGGCATGCGTCCTCCAGCATCAGCATTGGTTCCGTTGAAGCAAATGGTTCTGTGCACACCTGCAGTTCCAGGCGTCAGGAGAACCCTATGTTCACATTTTCTGGCCGACGATACGGAGTGGCAGCAGTCTCAATGATGATTCTATTTGAATGAAGGCATTATCAATGGAAGTGCAGGAACAAGCGTTTTATCTTGTTGCACATATTGCAATACGTCACCTTGCATTGCACTGCAGAGGCTTCACGAGCCGAATTGGTGCGTTTCCTTCGGAGGGCGTTCTTGTTCTCTACTANCATTGCACTGCAGAGGCTTCACGAGCCGAATTGGTGCGTTTCCTTCGGAGGGCGTTCTTGTTCTCTACTACGCATCCTTTGCATTCCCGGCTTGGGGAAGTGGCTCATCGCACATGCCTCGGCAGTATTGACGCTGAACACCAGTGGCGCTTTGTCCAGGTATCATTGAGAGCCACGGCCCCATTTTGGCTGGTATTTTGCATTTAGCACTCAGCAAACGGTCATGATTAGAATGTCGCTGCTCTTCTTGTTAGAAGTTCTGATCTTGTGAGGGTGACATATTCTTGTAGCTTCTAGTCCATATAACGCACCCGTCTCATAAGAAGCACAAGCCTTCCTCTGAGACAGAATCGTTTCAAGCACAACAAGCTCCACTCGCTGGCGTTTGTTGGCATAGTTCCTTTGTATTCGTCACGATGCAACTCTGCTTTTCTATTCAGCCAGCGGAGCGAGTGATGTTGGGTTGTGTTTCTACAGCAGAGTCAGTTTTCTAGAAAGGACCTCGAAATGATGCTTGCTCGTCGCAAGGCAGCAGTCCTTAACAGCCTGCACTGCAAGCAATACANAAGGACCTCGAAATGATGCTTGCTCGTCGCAAGGCAGCAGTCCTTAACAGCCTGCACTGCAAGCAATACATTGAACTGTTTGCTCAATACTGGGTTGCTAAAGGCCTGCAAACCTATTCATTTCTCTTGCGGACGTTGCCAGTCCATGCTACGGGATCAAGTCACTTTGGCAGTCCATCTTGCGCGAGCGGCGTTTGCTCGGGCGGATTGACCGCCTTGGGCAGGAGCAGCCAAAGCTCTACGATCCCACGCTTCCTTATTTTGGATGTTGTATAACATGACCTCAAGAATATATTAGAATTCAAATATTACTGCACGCCTCTCTAAGAACTCATTACCACAAGCATTCTCAAATAAAAAGGCACATTAGAGGAAGTATTAAATTACTCACACTTTTTGTTTTCGTAATGTGACGCAAATACGGAGGGATATTGGGTTCCAGAAATGCTTCCAAAATACTTCACGTCCTTGCCAGCTCATGGGAGGAGACTGACCATTACTCGCCGCAAATATCCGTTCTCAAGCAAGTACTCACCCAGCCTAATAGGGGAATCACTTGTCTCCAGGAGAAAGCAGCCCTCCACACAGGATACATGATTAGCAGGAGGTTTGGTGTAGAGCTACGCTTCACTGAGGGGGAACCTGTCAAGTGACTGTCGTGAACTGGTAGGAGTGTACAGGACCTGCACCATGANGCTTCACTGAGGGGGAACCTGTCAAGTGACTGTCGTGAACTGGTAGGAGTGTACAGGACCTGCACCATGAGCAAGAAACAGACCAGCCCACTTTGCGCAGGGATTCTCGGAAAGCCCGACGTCGCGACAATCCTCAGCCCGGGAATCCGCGAGCTTAAATAGAATCAATATACTCAGAAGTATTGTAGCATGACCTGTCTGACACTGGAGACTTAACTTCTACTTGCAGGCTGGCTACTGCGGGCCAAACATGCCTATAACTGCCCATATAGACAGTGCACGCCTACAATGGAGCTTCTGGAAGCTTGTATTTGGGGATGCCCTATGGCAGCAGTTGGAGCAAGGCATGCTGTAGGCCAGCTTGCCTCCTCTGCGACTCTATGCCCATGAGTCTATATGCCTAGCGCCCCTGGAAAGTGGTTTTCCATTTAAAATTGATTCTTGGAGAACCCTTTGCCTTAGATACTTTAGGTCTACTGCAGCTGAGGGCTATCGTAGGCTAAAATTTATGGTTCCAGATACGACTGTTCTGCAGCTAGGGCCTTAGAGGGGAGGTGTAACGCTGGGGCACCACAATGTTATGATTGTACAGTATATCTTCGCGAGAACGAGCCGGTCGTAGGTAGAATACTACGATTAGAGAAATTTCGTTGCATATGGATTAGCTCTACGGCAGCCCGTTAGAGCGGATTGTCGTACAGCACAGCTCAGCGGGAACAACCCGCGACGGGATTCCCACAGTAGCTAGACATGCTCACATCCGAGGGACAGAGAGGTTCCCCTATGCCGCCCTGGGGGCCGCATTTACGTGTTCGCCTCCAAGAAATTCCTCGTCTATTCCTCCTTTGACGAGTATGTCATCGACGGACAACTCCTCTCCCCGCCTGAGCGTATCTACCAAACCCTCGGCCGTCAGCTTGCTGCCATGAAGAGCGAAAAAGTGGCAATTCTCCTGCGCACTACGCTTAGGCGTTCCAAACGGGGGAGTCACACAAAGCTCGGGGTCCCTATCAAGGAACTCGTTCGCCAGGTACAAGGAACACGCGAACGCCGCATCATTGGATAATCGCCTCGCCGCCTTCAACCTTATCACCGCACTCCCAGGAAACACGAGCGGCGCTGCTCCCAGCCCACCACAGCTGTCCTCACACGGGCTTTCTTAGTGTGCCCTTTCTGTGCCCCACCCCTATTCGCCCTTCCCCGCGTCTCCTACTACGTTACACACCAGTTCGTTGCTCCTCAACTGTGCTGTCGTGGCCGACAGCACAGTTGAAATATACGAACTTTGACGAATGGACGCGGCCACACGAAGCTCGGCAGGAGTATACGCAGCGCCTGCGTGCCCTTCAAGTTTCTCCCTCTTGTATCCCCTGATTTGTTGCCTGTAGGTATTTCACCCGAATGCCCGTATTATCCTTGCAGTCTTCTCCTTACGGGCCAACTGCCCACGAAGTCAGCCCTCGATGTCGCCTGATCGTCCGAGCATTAAAAAAAAATATACAGCCACGATAATTTACAAGGGATTGATGGGACTTACATATTCCCCCACTTGCTCACCCACTCTCTGTCAGAAACTCCCCTTCAGAAACGCCAGTCTAAGAGGAGTTCGGGGGCTTAGGGATCATGTGGCCCTCGGAACCTGATCCCACTCACGTCAGTAGATGCACTAGTCCTGGCCAGCAGCTCTGCGTCTTGTGCCCCCAACAACAACACAAAAGCAAATGAAAAACACAATTGTGAGGCGTAGAAGGGATCCAAGTTCCCTCAGACGATGGGGTGATGGGATTTCATAACACTCTTGGTACTGCAGGCCCTGTAAGCTGATGAGAAGTGGGGGAGAGCCCTCAGTTCCCTCATGCAATTGTTGAGATCTCGTAAAGACAACTTAGACTGTTTCTCTTTTGTACAAATATTCACAATAATCTATACGAATTACTCGGTTGTATCTCTGAAGGGCGACTGTGGGGCGCATCACTGGAACCCCACAGCTGAGTTTAGCGAGCTGGCAAGCAATATCTATCATACTGAACAAAAATATATGACTAACAAAGATTAAATAAATAAGTTCTCTCAGTTAATTCTCTCTCTGAAAATTGTTGTTTTTCAACCCCAGTAGAGCAGGCACTGCGGCCTTTGGGGCTGGGAGAGGAGACGGCGTAGCCTGATGCAAATAGCTTTTGCATCAAGGCACAAGCCACCCTCTCCTATAACCATACCAATTGTCACTCCATAAAGAATGCTTAATGCCTTCAC